TTGGCGCCGCCCCAGTATCGTTGCGATGCATGCACTTCATCCAACGCTGCTCCAGCGAGCGGCATCTTCACATTATCCATGCTATCTTCCTCACCCACGGCTTCCACCACCATACCGTCGCCATCAGCCGCCTTATCCTCGCTGCGTGCTCTCTTCGAACCACCACCGGCCTCCTCTACGCCTCTCTCATCCTCCGACACTCCCCCGCTCCTCCCAATTCCTTCATCTACAACACCCTTATCCATGCCCACGCTCGCGGCCCCGAGCCCCATTGCGCCCTCCATTACTTCTCCATGATGCTTCGCTCTCCCGAACCCTTCTCCACTCCAGACCACCACTCATTCCCCTTCGCACTTGCCGCTTGCGTCGCTGTCCCTGATTTCTCCTTTGGTACTCAGATACAGGCAATCGTCATCAAGAACGGCCTCGCCGCAACTGATCATTACGTTCAGACGGCCGCCCTTAGACTTTACGCACAGGTCCAGGACGATCTCATTCAAGCGCGGAAGCTGTTCGACGAAATTCCTCAAACGGATGCGGTTCACGTGGACGTGCTTATGAACGGCTATCTCCGACGCGGGTTCCCGTTTGACGCTTTGGAACTCTTCAAAGAAATGTTTGTGGATGGTTTGATCCCGGACAAGCACGTCATTACCACTGCCCTTACGGCTTGCTCACATGCAGGGGCTCTAAAAGAAGGTGCTTGGATCCACATGTGTTTATTGAACGAACACCCTGGTTTTTTGGAAGATGCTTTTATTTCTTCGTCTCTTGTAAGCATGTATGCAAAATGTGGCTGTATTGAGGAAGCTGTGAAGGTGTTTGATTCAGCGCCAGAGAGAAATTCCTTCATGTGGGCTTCAATGATTGGGGGATTCGCAGTGCACGGTTTAGCAAATGATGCTTTTTGTTGCCTCAACCGGATGAAAGATGAGGACGGTGTGAAGCCGGATGGGATTGTGATTCTCAGCGTTATGGCTGCTTGCGCTCATGCTGGTCTTGTAGATGAGGGCTTGAGGTTGTTGGCTGAAATGATTTCACGCTACGAAGTTGTTCCTGAGCATGAGCATTACAGCTGCGCTGTTAACATGTTATGCAGGGTAGGCAGGCTAGCTGATGCATTGGAGCTCATCCGCCGGATGCCAATGAGGCCTCTGGCTTCTGTTTGGGGTTCACTGTTGACGGGTTGTGGGATCCACAACAATGTTGAGCTTGCAGAGCTTGCGGTGGCGGAGCTTCAGACCATAAATGGGGAGGGTGAAGATGATGATGGTGTATTTGTACAAATGTCGAATATATTTTTGAATTCAAATAAGCTGGAGGATGCACGGAGGATAAGGAAGTTGATAGGGAGGAGAGGGGTAAAAAAGACAGCTGCTTGTAGTGAGATTGAGGTGGATGGTGAGGTCAGTTCATTTGTGGCAGGAGATCCGCTGCACCCACAGCTGCTTGATATTTGGTCAGTTCTGAATATCTTCAGAGATCATGCAGGAGATGAGCCTTGGTTTGAGAGTGGAGACTTTGAAGTGGGAGTTCTGAGTTTTGGATAATTTTTGTTCCAAAGGAGGTGACAAAATGGTTATTGATCAAGATACTATCAACCTATCTTGTTACTTGAGCGCTGACTCCTTACAGATCTACTAACCTTATGAGGGTCATTTTGAACTCAAGTGGCTTGAAACTCAAGAGTTCAAGTACCCGGTATCCTCTCTTATTTGGCTGCCTGTAATTTGAAGCATTCTTCATTACTGGCATTCAATAATCGGCCCTACTTGGTGGCTCCCCTTTTTTTCTTTATTTATTTGTCTACCATTTACTTTTTTGTTCTCATTGGTAGCTTGCTCTTTCCATTCTGATTTGCATTTGGAGTTGATCTCAAGAAGATTGGGCTCCAACATCAAGGATGTTGCTTTTGGTTTGTGTTCGCTTCCTACAAGTAAGGTGAAGCTTGAGATCTAAGGCGTCAAAGTTTTGATAGAATTCAAGGTGATTCCTGCATTTTATCAATGCGGTAAGTGGCGATTAAAATTATATGAAGTTATGTTTTTATTATTTATTAGATATGACTCATATGTCATAAAAGGGATAGATGCTGGGGCTGAGCGGAAGATTCTATTTAAATCAGAGTTTTTTTTTTATGTGAATGGAGAGTTTTTTTTTTAATGTGAATGGAGTGTGAGGTGTTGGGGGTAATTTATTAATTACATATTATACTCAAAGTTTTCTTTACTGTTCTTTCTAGATTTATAAATAGTTCTATTTGCAAAGATCCTTGTTAAATCGTGTTCTCGTGTGTTCTTCTGGATTTGTGTCGAGGTTTTCGGACGGATAGGCACAGGCGAAGGTTTTGCGGTTTGACGCTTTCGCAGAGGAAATTGGGAGAAGTTCCATTGATCCGGGAAGAATAAGAAGAATGGAGTTCGCGCTTTGGCGAGGGCTTCGGTTTGTGAATCGCGGCATTCTACCCGGAATTCTTCCGCCTGCGACACCAGGGGATTCGCGACCAGCAGAGGGAGTTCGGCGGATTGCGACGTTTTGGCCGGAAAGGTTCGCAGCGGCAGACCAGATTCGCGCGCGATTCGACAGCGAAAGGAGTTCGTGGCTTCGGTACAGGTACAGCAGGAGTTCGCGAAAGGCTTGGATCGCGACGCAGAAGGGTTTCGTGACATATTCCGATTCGGCGCAGTGGAGGGAGTTCGGCGGATTGCGACGTTTTGGCCGGAAAGGTTCGCAGCGGCAGACCAGATTCGCGATTCGACAGCGAAAGGAGTTCGTGGCTTCGGTACAGGTACAGCAGGAGTTCGCGAAAGGCTTGGATCGCGACATCTTCCAGCTACAGGAGAGGTCGCGACGCAGAAGGGTTTCGTGACATTTTCCGATTCGGCGCAGTGGAAGATGCGATTCAGCACAGGCGAATTCGATAGAGTAGTTCGGGTTTTCGTCTGCGATCCGAGGGTTTCTTCCGCAGGAGCAGTTAGAATAGGAGGAATTGGAATCGATTTATTTTCTTTGCGTCAAGAAAGTAAAGTTTTTTAAATTCAGTTAATTAAAGTAAATAAGGAAGTTTAATTAAACAAATATTTCAATCTTTTTTTTAAAAAAAACTTAATGAAGGGATTTTTTTAGAAAGATTCTCAACAAGTAATTGCAGAATAATTTGTTGCAAGATCAATTTCAAATGATAATTTCTGATGCAAAATTCGAGGTGGTGAAGTTCGATGAAACTGATAACTTCGGATTGTGACAAACAAAAAGTAAAAGATCTGTTGGCTCAACAAGGAATCTTGAAAGCTTTGCGGACAATAAAACCAAATGTCATGTTGGATGAAGATTGTGAAGAATTATAACAACGAGCGGCAGCAACTATACGCCTATGTCTGACAGATGATGTTTTTAATCATATAATGAATCTAAAATCTCTACGGGAGGTATGAAATAAATTGAAAATTCAGTTTATGGCTAAATCTCTGACGAATAAATTATATCTAAAGTAAAAACTGTATGGGATGAAATGCAAGAAGGTTTTGATCTGACGCAGTATGTTAATGATTTCATTCAAATAATCACAGATTTATTACGGCTTGATGTGACTAATGAGGATAAAGACCGAACAATTATTTTTTTGTGTTCACTGCCTTCTTATGAACACCTGGTGACTACTCTTACATATGAGAAAGAAACTATCAAAGATGAGATTACTGCAGCATTGTTGACTCACAACCAATAGAAACAGAATGCAGGGGAAATCTCATGGACAGCTTATATGTGAAGGGTAATCAGGATCGTGACAAGAAGAAAGAGAATGAGAGTTCTAAAAGGTGAAATTCCAGATCCAAGTTCAAAGGCAAAAAAATAATTCATTGTTACAATTGCAAGGAGTCAGGTCATATGAAGAAAGATTGTCCAAAGCTCAGGAAGTAGACTGGGGAGAAAGGTGATGGATCATCGAAGTCTGTAAATGTGATGCAAAGTGATAATTCAGATTACAGTAATGACGATATGCTTTCAGTATCATCAACTCAGTTCACGGATGCGTGGATTCTTAATTCAGGATGCTCTTATCACATAACACATAACAGAGAGTGGTTTACTTCATACAAGTCAACTAATTCTGGCTCAGTTTATCTAGGTGATGATAGATGCTACAATATTATTGATATTTGAGAAATCAGAATTAAGATGTATGATGACGCAGTTAGAACATTATGTGATGTCAGACATATTCCAGATTTGAAGAATAATTTGATTTTTTGGGCACTTTACATAGAAATGGTTTTATTCCCATATGAGGATAGTAAAATCATTAGAAATGTTAAGGGTGCACAGACAGTGATGAAGGAAAAGTTAACTGCATGCAATATCTACAAAATGTTGGGGAGTATAGTTGTAGGTGGAGTTCATTCGGTGAAGTCAGATGATGATAGTACAAAACTATGACATATGTGTCTGGGTCATCTCAGTGAACTTGGGATGGCGGAATTGCATAGAATAAACTTGTTGCATTGTGTTAAAAGCTGCAAACTCGATATTCGTAAATTCTGTGTTCTTGGAAAACATACTAGAGTCAGTTTTATGACCGAAAAATATAAAACTGAAGGGATTTTTGATTATGTGCATTCTGATGTATGCGGCCCTACCAAAAAATCGCATTGGAAGGATCTCAGCATTTAATTATCTTTATTGATGATTTCTCTAGTAAAGTTTATGTGTATTTCTTGAAATATAAATCTGATTCTCTAAATTCAAGCTGTGGAAAGCTGAGGTGGAGAACTAAACTGGCAGAAAGATCAAGTATTTGAGGTCCGATAATGACACAGAGTACACAGATTTGCAGTTTCAGAAGTTCTGTGAGGAGCATGAGATTCTGAGACATTCTTCAGTGCGCAAGACACCACAACACAATGGTGTGACAGAAAGGATGAACAAGTCCTTAACTGAAAGGGCAAGATGCTTGAGACTGAATGCAGGACTTCCTAAGAGTTTCTGGGCAGAGACTGTGAATATGACATGTTATCTCATCAATAGATCACCTCGGGCATCGTTGGGTGGTAAGGTCGCAGAAGAGGTATGGACATGTAATATAGTTAATTTCGATTATTTAAGGATTTTTGGTTGTCTTGCTTATGTGCATATACCTGGAGATGAAAGATCTAAACTTGATGCAAAATCCAAAAAATGCATCTTTCTGGCTATAAGAAATGTGCAAAATGATACAAGTTTTGAGATTCGATTGCAAAGAAGATGGTGATCAGCAGAGATACAGTTTTTGATGAACAGTCCATGTTACAACATAATCAAGACAAGGTGCAAGGGAACAGTTCTAGTTCAGATGTAGTGCAGATAATTTAGAACAACATCAAGAAACAATTGAGAGAGTTGACTGTTTAAATCTAACACCTGGTGATTCAATTCCAGATGATCTGCAGAATTATAATCTAGCCAAAGACGGGCAGAGACGCACCAATATAATACCTCCTAACATATTGGGTTATGAAAACTTGGTCTCTTGTGCACTTCTCATAAGCAGCGATGATCCAACCACTTTTCATAGAGCTATCACTAGCCAGAAGAAAGAGAAATTGTTGGGTGCAACGGTTGAGGAGATGAAGTCTTTGCAGAAAAATTGCACATGGGAGCTAGTTCAACTTCCTGAAGGAAAGAAGACTAATAGGTGCAAGTGGGTGTACAAAAGAAAATCAGCAGTATCAGAAAAAGAAGGGAAAAAACTCAATGCTCGACTGGTAGAAAAAGAATTTTCAGAGCAGAAGGGGATATATTATGATGAAATTTTTTCTCCTGTGGTTAGACATACTTCAATCAGGGCAGCGCTTGCATTTGTAGTCATTTGAGATTTGTATTTGGAGCAGATGGATGTTAAAACTGCTTTTTTGCATGGTGATCTGGAGGAGCAGATTTACATGTAGCAGCCAGAATGTTTCACTCAACCTGGACAGGAGCATCTGATTTGTAAGTTAAAGAAATCGTTGTATGGGTTGAAACAGCTCCAAGACAATGGTATAAGCGGTCTGACTTTTATATGATTCAGATTGGCTACAAGAGATTTGAATATGATTGTTGTGTTTATGTGAAGAGCCTTGATGATCGTTCTATTATTTTTCTGTTACTGTATGTTGATGATATATTGATTGCTGCAAAGAATATGAATGATGTCCGTGGTTTGAAAGTTTTTTTGAGCCAAGAATTTGACATGAAAGACTTGGGTTCTACGAAGAAGATTCTTGGAATGGAGATTCATCGAGACAGAGGCTCAAGACGATTATGTTTATTTCAACGAGACTATGTTGAGAAATTGTTTGACAGGTTTGAGATGAGCAAAACAAAGCCTGTAAGCACTCCTTTGAGAAATTATTTTAAGCTTTCTTCATAATAGTGTTCTAAACAGATACAAAAATCGAAGACATGACAAAAGTTTCATATGTCAGTGCAGTTGGCTGCTTGATGTATGTAATGATATGTACTCATCCTGATTTGACTCATGATGTTAGTCAAGTCTGCAAATACATGATTAAACCTAGAAAGCGACATTGGGAAGTAGTCAAGTGGATTTTCAGGTATCTGAAGGGTACCGTAAGACATGAAACTATTTTTGACAGACAGTAGAATGATCTTTAAGTTGTGGGGTACGTTGATTCAGACTATGCAGGTGATTTGGATGACAGACTGTCTACAACTGGATATGTGTTTACTCTTGGTGGAGGGCCTATATGTTGAAAATCAACATTTCAGTCTATTGTGACATATCTACAACTGAAACTGAGTACATGACAGTAGCTGAAGCTGCTAAAGAAGCGTTATGACTTACTAAGCTAGTAAAGGTACTGGGAATTGAGCAAGGTGGAGTTCAGTTCTATTGTGACAGTCAGAGTGTTATTTATCTAGTTAAGAACCAGGTGTATCATGCGAGAACCAAGCACATTGATGTCAGGTATCACAAGATCTGAGAATTGATTGCTTCTGGTGAGATATTGTTGCATAAGGTTCATACTGATGAAAATGCAGCTGATATGTTGACCAAGTCAGTTACTACCAACAACTTCTTGCATTGCTTGAACTTGTTGAATGTTTGCAGTTGTTATAGAAGCATGCTGGCCCAATCCACTTCTGGTATGTAAAAAACTCCATGACGTATTTCTCCTAAGGGGCTGGATATTCGCTTAGGTGGAGATTTGTTAGATATAACTCATATACCATAAAGGGACAGATGCTGGAGCGGAGCAGAGCAGAAGATTTTGTCCAAATCAGGGGAGTTTTCTTATGTGGGTTGGGGGTGCGGTACAGGAGTAATTTGGTAATTACATATCGTACTCAAGTTTTCTTTTACTGCTCTTTCTAGAGTTATAAATAGACATGTTTGTAATCCTTGGTTATTCTATTTTGTATCCTTATTTTGTATCCTGTACTATTTTTTTTGTATCCTGTACTATTTTTCTGGATTAGTGGAAAAGTCGTCGCTCTGCTCCCGATGACGTAAGCATCTTTGTCGAACTTCGTTAAATCTCTGTGTTCTTCTGAATTTGTATCGATTTTATTTTTTTTCGCTCTAATTTCTCAACACTATTATTTTCTTAGAGCATTCAATAACAAGTTTTATTGAACTAGAAATAATAATATCAAATGACTTTTAGTTCTAAGCAATTCAAGAGTTTTATTCTTTTTTTGTTGATTTCACATGTAAATGTTAGAAAAAATGAGAGAATTGTTGAGTTTTGGAGCCCGGTCCGACCATTCCCACTCCTGATCGCGAAACATCGCGCTCCTGATCGCGAAACATCGCGCCCCCGCTCCGGCTTCCGCTCCCGATCGCTCCCAACTCCCATTTTCGCCTGGCGTTGATTCGCGAACAGCGCCAACCGCTCCCGCCTTCCTCTATCGCGAAACGAAGCATCCCTTCGCTCATTATAAGCCGCGAACAGGCAGTAGTTTCGGGTGGGGTGTGTGTGGTTCGAGCTTCAAGGCTTCTTCGTCGGCAGTTTTTGGCGTTGGTGCGCAGTAGAAGGTAGAATAAGAAGAAATGTATCGCACGACTATCCTTTAATTTCTACGACACAGCCGGTGCAAGAAGTAGTTCCTTACGGTGAAGGAAGAAGAAAGAAAAAAAAGAAGATTGTTCTCCATTGGATTCTTCTTGGTGGCTTGTGGCAGAAGAGAATTTGAGTTTATTTCTCTTATAAGTTTATTTTTTTCGGTGTATATCGGTATAGAGAGAGAAGAAGAGAGAGCAACGATGTGAGAAATTCTTCTTGTAAGTCGAGACGATCGACTAGTGTAAATTCCTAGTAAAATCCTCTGCAACTCGGTGGACGTAGGCAATTTGTCGAACCACGGAAATTTGTGTGTTCCGCTGTGTTACTATTTTCTGGTGTGAATTTTCTCGTTTTATTTTTTTGCTTCCTTGTCTATTCTTCTATTTTATTTCGATGTATTTCAACACCTGAATGATTTCAACACTATCAAAAATCAATTATCGACTATTGAAATTGATTTTGATGATGAGATACGTGCGCTGATATTGTTGTCATCATTGTCAAATAGTTGGGAAGTCATGAGGATGACAATTAACAGTTCTGCAAATAAATCTAAATTGAAATGTGATGATATTCGTGATTTGATTTTGGCTGAGGAAGTGCGCATGAAAGACTGTGGAGAGATCTCAGGTACGAGTTCGACGCTGAATGTTTATTTCAGATGGAGATGACAGTACATGAACTCAAATAAAGGGAGATTAAAATCAAAGTCTGATCAACAGACAACCTGCTGGAATTGTGACAAGGCTGACCACATAAAGAGGAACTGTAGAAATCCCAAGAATATCCAGAATGATAGCGCAAATATGGTATCTGAAGAAGTACAAGATGTATTATTGCTGACAGTTCGTAGTTCTGTTGAAGATGAAAGTGAAGAGGAGAGTGGGTCCGGAGCACTCATTCTTATTGTTCCAGAGACAGATGGTGGAGAACCACAAAGTAATGAAGAAATCTTGCAAAATGAAAGTTCGAGCAAGTGGGAGCCGGTAGAACTTCCACCAGGGAAGAAGACATTACACCAAGTAGATGTACCGGGTGAAGACTAATCGTGATGACAGTAAGATGTATAAAGCTAAACTTGTTAAAAAAGGCTTTCAGCAGATGAAGGATATTGCTCATGCTATGAGAGTTATAAGCAAAGACAAGAGTAATTAAAGAAATAGCTTGGAGGTGCAAAGCTATGTTGACTGAGGGTGTTACTCTTCAGAAATTGAAGTTGTGCACAACTTCAGTTGGTCATCTGATGTGAAGACAGAGACTTTGAGTTGCAGATGTGGAGGATTCATGTTTAAAGAAAATGATGACACCGCCAGTGGAGGAGATCAATTTGAGGAAGGAGATGTTGTCTGTTTACCGGTCTCCAAGTGGGAGATTCGTTGAGTTTTGGAGCCCGGTCTGACGGCTCCCACTCCCAATCGCGAAACATCGCGACCCCGCTTCCGCTCCCGATCGCGAAAGGTTGCGACCCGAACTCTCGTTCCCGCCTGCGTTGATTCGCGAACAGTGCCAACCACTTTCGCCTTCCTCTGTCGCGAAGCAAAACATTCCTTCGCTCGTTATAAGTCGCGAACATGCAGCAGTTCCGGGTGGGGCATGTGTGGTTTGAGCTCCAAGGCTTCTTCTTCTGCAGTTTTTGGAGTTGGTGCGTGGCAGAAGGAAGAAGAAATAAGAAGAAGATTGTTCTCCATTGACTTCTTCTTGGTAGGTTGTGATAGAAGAGAAATTGGAGAAAATAATCTTCTTGGTATCTTGTGGAAGAAGATTATTTCTTTTGTAAGTTTATCTTCTTCGGTGTATCTCGGTGTAGAGAGAGAAGAAGAAAGAGCAACGAAGTGAGAGATTCCTCATGTAAGTTAAGACAAGTTGAGACGATCGACTGGTGTAAATTTTTTAAGTAGTAAAATCCTTTGCAATTCCGTGGATGTAGTCAATTTGTCGAACCACGTAAATCTGTGCGTTACGCCGTGTTACTGTTTTCTTGTGTTTCTCGTTCTATTTTTTTTGGTTCGTCGTCGATTCTTCTATTTTATCTCGATATATCATAACAATAATAATACTAATTTTTTATATTCACTCACAAATTAGAAGAAGTATAAAAAATGATCTTAATTTACTAAAACTAAATGAAAATATGACACTAAATAAGACTCAATGGAGAAAAAAGATTCATGTAGCCGACCCCACGTAGTGGGATTAAGGCTTTGTTGTTGTTGTTGTTGTTGTACTCACAAATTAGAAGAGTAAATAACTTATGGTAGACAAGTTACCTGAAAATAGAAAGAAAGCTGGAAAACAAAAGAGATTTTTGCAATTCAATATGTTATAATTCAAACTATGAAAGCTACAATTACTTTATTTTCTTTGTAATGGCAGGATGACAATATTTGGAAAGGCAAAATAGACATCAAATCGGCTATCACGCTTGTCAGAATCGTGCAGCCATATAGGACAAGTTACTGCTAGAGTGGTAGTTGGCTAACTACATCCTGGTTGCTGCATTGTGTATGATTTGTTGGGATCTGGATCCCTGGGATTAATGGACGTAGGATGTAGCAATGACTGTTGCAAGGATGGCCGAATCAAGTTGAGAATCTATGTTGATTATTTATAGTTTGAAAGTAAGGTTATTGAGTTGTGATTTATCCTGGTAAGAATTTCAGCAATCTGAAGTTTTGTTGGTGTGCAATTTACTTGGATAATTCTTGATCAAAATGTTTTTTTAAGAAAGTGTACATCACTTTTTTTTCGATCATGGTGGATAAGGTTCTTAATTATTTTAATATTAACTTGGCTATCACACCATATTATCATAAATTTTGTAGGGCAAGAACTATAGTTTTTGAGAAAATATTTAAGCTACATGCCTTCTCAAGTACCATAGGCTTATGACTAATTTTTTTTGCACTACTCAACACTGCCACAGTATTTTTTGCTTCTCCACATAACTATGTTTTTCATATGAATAAGCAATGTCTTAATGTAAATTTATAATATACCATTGACCACTCGGTCAGTATTAGTGAATCTTTTAAAACTTTTATTTGTCTTCTTGAATAACAACTCTTTTTTCTCATCTTTGTGAGATAACTTAGTACCTTGTATGCGACATCAAGGTGCTCTTTTGTGAGTTTATTTATAAGCTGACTAATAACACTAATAGTTAGCATATATAAAGTTTTGTATGAGAACCATAGATGAGTTTTCCTACTAATTTTTAGTGACTTCTGTCAACTAAGATATAATCCCCATTGAAACAATTTTGTTTGATGGATCCATTAATGCATTTCTGGATTTTCATATTCGGTCAGCATTAGTGAATCTTTTAAAACTTCTATTTGTCTCCTTGAATAACAATCCTTATTTTATGTGTCTTTGTAAGATAACTTAGTATCTTGTATACGACATCATGATGCTCTTTTGTGAGTGTATTCATAAACTAACTAATAACACTAATAGTTAGGCATATATAAAGTTTATTTGAGAAATATAGGTGAGTTTTCCTACTAATTTTTAGTGTCTTTTATCAACTAAGATATAAACCCCTTAGAAACAATTTTGTTTGATGGATCCATTGATGCGTTTCTAGATGTACATCCAGCTCAATCAACATTAATGAATCTTGTAGAACTTCTATTTGTCTCCTTAAATAACAAACCTTTTTCACGCGTCTTTGTGAGATAACTTGGTATCTTGTATTTGACATTAAGATGCTATTTTGTGAGTTTATTCATAAACTGACAATATAACACTAATAGTTAGACATCTATAAAATTTTTTATGAGAATTATAGATGAGATTTTTTTACTAATTGTTAGCGTCTTCTGTCAACTAAGATAAATCCCATGGTAACAATTTTGTTTGACGAGTCCATTGATACATTTCTGAATTTACATCTAAGCATGCTAGTTTTATGTAATAAGTCAAAGTCATGTTTTTATTTCGAAACAGATATCGCTTTGCTTTATCTTGCTATTCTATGCTTGGGAAACATTTTAATAAACCAAGCTCCTTAATTTTAAATTCTTTAACTAGTATATATTTCATTTTGTATATTTTCATTTCTTTATGATCTTTGCCTGAGATGATATCAATCTATACAGTTAAGGTAGGCATTTTACTTTCATGTTACCTATTGGCTAATAAGGCAATGTCAGATCGTCCTTGAGAGTATATATGCATTCAGTCACCATCAGGGCTATTAAAACGGCTCGTTGTTTGCGAACAATTTATGTTTGGCTCGTTAAGAAGCTCGCGTTTGATTCGTTTGCTAAACAAACAAGCCGAACATGAACAAAGTTTTGTTCGTTCGTGTGTGTATGTGTGTGTGTGTGTATGTGTGTATGTATGTATAAATGATGATTAATATTTTTAAATAATTTAATTGACTACAAGACTACATAGATTTATCATCAGCTAAAATTATTAATTTAAAAAATAGAAAAAACATATTAAATTATATTTAAATGATGTTTTAATATAAATAATAAAATTTAAATCTTTCCCCAACCCCTGACACCCTACGACTGCGCGACTAAGGTTGTCAAAATGGCTCTGTTCGAGAACAACTCGTGTTCCGCTTGCTAAGCAAACGAGCCGAACACGAACAAATTTTTTGTGTTCAATGTAAAAACGAGCCGAACACGAACAATGATATTTTTTGAAAAAAACTGAACACAAGGTTAGTCTTGCTCGTGTTCGGCTCGTTTACACCCCTACTCACCATAATGAATCTATAGAACCAAGCTTTTCATGATTTAAGCTACATGGAAACTTATTAAGCATCCGAACTTAATGCACTTTACTTTTACTTTTAAATCTAGGATAAATTGTTATATAGATTTCATCCTCTATATCCTCATTCAAATATTTTTTTACATCTAGTTGATAAAGCGACCAATACAGACTAGCAACAAGAGAGAAATAAATCTAATAGTGTTCATTTTAACAACGTAGGCTTAGGTTTATGATAGCTGATTCCATGGGTTTGAGTGAAATTTTTTACCACTAACTTTGCTTTGTTTCTATTGTCACCTTCATCAAACTTACATGTTTTGTTGAAGAGCCATTAGCATTCAATAGATTTCTTCTCTTTGTGAAGATTTGAATATTCCACCTACAATTTCTTTCAATAATCTAGATTTGTGCATGAATACTATTTTTTCAATCAAGTTCGTTCAATACTTTTTGAATGTTGCTTGGAATTTCTGAAATGCTTGTATTGAAGGCATAAAATTTTTAGAGATTGTTTGGCATAGTAAATAGAACAGCAGATTGGATGTGCAGAGTAATTTCTTATGCTTTTCTTGAGAGCAACAGTATTTATATTTAGATCATCATCAAAATCCATATTGTTTTATACTAATGATATGATGTTAGGGCCTGGGTCAAACATTTGGCTTAATTAGAAAAAATGCTTTATTTCACCTTGTCAGTTAACTAGTGTCATCGCTAGGAACAAATAATCCCTTTGTGCTTTGCTCGTGTGTGTTCTTTGAAAGCCTGAGAGTCAAGTAGATTTAGAAGCTATATAAGATGAGACATTAATAAGGCAGGATTGATATCCTCAGAAAACTTCTATTCACAGAGACAATTGATGTTCTGCCTCATCATATACAGCTTTGAGGAAGAAGGATTAATATTTGAAGAAGGTTATATCCATAGTGGTGTGTTTTTTTTAGTATTAGGAATATAGAATATTTTAATCCATGTTGGTGAGGAGATTAGCCCATAAAAATATATTTTATGGCTTTTGGATATGATTTTGTTTATTGATGAAATGGAATGCGCACACACAGACAATTGAATGCTCTGATAGGTATGATGCAGATAAATCTATATGTGGTATGGGTATGTGTGAGGGTTTAATAAGGAGTTTTTAATTTCAGAAATCTTGAATGCATTTTAATGAGATATGCAACTCTGAGTACCTCTCCTTCTAATAATATTTTGAAACAATTTTAGTTATCATAATTGATTTAGCATTTTTAGAAGATATCTAATTTTTAACTTTCTTCTATATTTCATTCTGTTGAAGAGTTAAAATACAAGAGATTTAGGGAATAATTTCTTGTTGGAGGAGGTATTCTACTATAATGGATTGAAATTATTCTTGCTTATTGTCAAGGAATTAGGCTTTTATGAGATGGAGTTAGAAACCATATTTTGTTTTAGGCTTGTCTTTAATTAGAGAGGTTCAAGTAATTTAGATGTGGTCATCAACAAAAGATATAAATCACTTAACACCTTAGATATTGTTTACCCAAGATGGGCTTATAATGTCACTATGTATCAACAAGTTAAGAAGCTTTACAAGGATGTTTAGGATAAAAAGTTCAAATTTGTTTATATAATTGACAAGCGACACACTAAAATGCTTTAGTCTATATCTATGAAAGGGATGATAATATATTCTTTAGGTATTTAAATAGGATTATTAAGGTGAAAGTGCCACAACATAATAATGCATTCATTAGAGAAATATACATATTGAATACTTTTTTCTCTCATCATCAGGATTTCTTTCATATTTTTGTGGGCGGAGATCATCATTTTTATTTATCTTGCTAATTTATTCTTTCCGAGTCATTAACCTAAAATTCATAATTAATAAAAAAAAATTTAATAATGCAAGTCATATCTTTGATATTTTGGTTAATTAATAATAAATTGGAAGAAGCTTAGGAACTAAGAATCAGAGTGAAGGATGAGAGAGTTAGTGACATTAATGTCCCGATACAATTTACTTGCAAGGTTAACACAATGACAAGTTTGATTGTATAATCTTGTAATATACAGATAAAGAGTTTGAAACAAGGAGGCATCCTTGATCATATGATCAAATGCTTCAGGGTTAATGATCAACGATTATGAATTTCTATTTTAGACATTTAAATCATTCAAGACTACTTCAAAAAAAAAAAACAATCACAGTGATGATATTTCTAGTGTAGAAGATTTTGATTGGAATTGGATAATAGGTGAATTGGAGAAAGTTTCTTGGTTATTAGTGTTGCCATGAGACCTTGATTTCTTTGGGATGTAGAACCATAGGAGAGTCTTCTCTTCAAGACCATTTTGTGTTCAACCATCATCATGGTATTTAAAAAATAAAAAATAAAATTTGACGAAGCACGACGACTTAGAAATCTCCGACGATAGAGATTGAGAATAGAGAATGAAGAATTGCTTGGATAACATGTTGAAAAGGACAAGGAAAGAATACTAATATTTCATATCCACGAAGTAGGAAAATTCCATAATTTACTAAAGACACAATCTACCTAGAAATAAAGAAACCTACATACACTCAAGCTATTAATTCCTTTCTTCATAAAGGTTGGACAACAATATTTGGAAATTCATGGTGATGATAGTAATAGAGTTGAATGACACCTCCTAAAAGAGCTTTTCAGGGTGGTGGGCAGCCCAGGACTTAAATACTGTTTTTCGGTCATACATCTATCTGATGTGAGATTTTTTGTCCGTGACATTCTCCTCCACCCAATCACGTGATGCTCTCATCAAGGATCGGCTCCACCGAGTGTTCCACTGGATCATGAAGAGTCCACACACCTGACAGGCAGTAATCTGCTATGATACCACTTGTCATCTCCCAAAAGAGCTCTTCGGGGTGGTGGGCAGCCTAGGACTAAAATACTGTTTTTCGGCCCTACACCTAACCGATGTGAGACTTTTTGTCTGTGACATTGAGCTCCGAACCAGGAAGGAAACCAATTGTCTTGATTGTTTGAATCCAGATCCATACTGGGAAAGTAATTGTTGGAGAGGCAGCTGGTTGGTTATTGTATTTGGCATGCTATGCTGGAGGTGGATCTGTGAGATTAATTGCAGCTCACGCAATACCCTAGGTGCTGGATTTCCATAGGAACATTAATGATTGTAATACGAATGTTGTTGAACATCTAAAATCAATTTTACAGAAAAGCTACGACCCATTTGGGATCACCTTTTTTTTTGTTATGTTTTACTTTGTTTGAAAACATATTTGGTTGTGTAGTTATTTATAAAAAGGCTCAAAATATCATTTAAGTGTTTTGAGCGATTTTAAAGACAAAGTGATTCATTATTAAATACAAAAAATAAAAAAACATATAAAAATTATACTAAACAAATATATTTTAAAAAAAATAAAAAAAATAAAAAAAAATGATGTCAGACAGGGCTAAACTTTTAAGGAAGTAAATGAATCACATTTAGGGAAAACTTAATCGAATCAAGTGGAATATTTATTTATTTAAGCATATTCATTTATTTTATATTGAGCTTGAGCTTTACTTGAATATGGCTTGAGTTTTAAAACATTGCGC